TCTGTATTTTTTATTCCACATAAACTTTGGAATATGATCATCATTCTTATCACAATTTGTTGAGTCATGCGATGCTTTGATCTTTGATTTTCATCTTTGTCACCTTGGGCCCACATAATTTGTGATTGCAGGGGATGCAAAAGTATCATACCCAACTCTATTTCAAACAATGAGGAGGTGTTGCTTGGTAGATGGATACTCAAGTGCCTTGCTTTATTGGAATTTAAAAGGTTGTGTGTTTGTGTATTTTAGGTGGATGCATATTCATATGACACATGGCTGTGTGGTTAGAACATTTGCATTTTGACCATGAAGCCGTGTCCAAATCTCACCATGGATGATTTGTCAGGAAGGAGACTTCCTGATGTTATCGGACTAGAGGGGTCGATCTCAGCATGCAGAACCTTTGGAAAGTGCCTGAAAAACCATACCATGAGTTGACCCAAGCCTTGTGAGTGAAATTGGGTACAATTGGGTGCCGTTGATAGCTGTGCTAGCATGAATTCACAAGTCATCATGGCCTTTGCTCGAATTTTTTATTACACTAGATAACATGCTCTTTTCCAGAAACTATAACTAAAGTCTGCTCAGCATAGTTGCAGTATAAACCACAGCTGGGCTCTGTGGGTGTTGAATAAACACAAATGTGCCTGAGCAAGCGTCTGCAATATGGATTGGCTAGCTGTACTATTAGACAGGTATCCTTGAATACGAGTGGCCAGTTATACATCTATACATGTTCATATGTAAAGAATTAAGAAGCATATAAAGACCCAGGTTCCTACTACAAACTGTTTATTCTTTCTTTTTTTATATATAAACTGTAGTGAAACAAATTTCTCAATGTCTCTTGGGTATGTGAGTTTTCTTTTTGGACTTGGATTTACGGAAAATAAACATAAGCATTGTTATAATGGTCACACTCAAGTCAGCCTTGTGCTGAGTTGGAACAAACAAATAAAAGGTTAGCTCTAGAAGACACGTGTGAACCCCATGCATTAGAAAATGGGAAAAGAGTTCAGTCATCAGTGGACTGGGTAAATAAAGATGTCCCAATGGGGATGTAATTCTCAATTTGGGCTACATCTTGGAACAAGAGGGAGAAAAGAGAGAGGAAGAAAAATGTTTATTTTTTTATAGACTTCAACAGCTCCACCTAGTGGTGCTTGATGTAGCCAAGTGGAGTAATAAAATTTCCAGTTCCTTTATTACTAGCATCATGGGAAAATATATTTCTTTTTCTATTTTATTATTCATTATTATTATTTTACGAATTTTCCACAACCTTTGCTGCCAAGTAGTGGGGGTATATTGAATGATGGAAGACAAATAACAAAACAAAAAAACAAAGACTTGAGTAGGGAAAATATAGACACAATTGGCTTGTTAAAGAAATACATTGACAAAATAAGGTTACAGTACCCTAGGTAAAAAAAATTTGTACGTTCATGTCAAGGGTGAAAAGAGCGTTGAAGAGTATTGTCCTGAGAAAGACAGTTTTGTAGCTGTTGAAAAATGTTTCATGCATATTATTGCTGATGTCTGGAGATGAAGCGGTGGCCAATGGTGAGCTTGAGCTGCTGCTGGCTAGACCTTGTTCGTTGCTGGAACATGATTGCCTGCAGAGGGCGATGCCTAGGGGATCAAAGTAGGCATCATATCACGAGTACTCATGATTTTAGAAATGAATTAGTTTTACAACTGTCGCTGGTCCTGGAATGTGATATTTCTTCTTCCAGTTGATTTTAAAAATGTGTGAGCACCAACAGGGTATAATAACCTCCTCCTCAAGACACTATTAACTTCCCATGCATTAAAATTTACATTATGACATTTAAATTGAACAACTAGAAACTATTATCTCAAGAAAATCAACACCATTGTGTTTTCAATTTATAAAAAGTAAAAAATCAATGATATTAAACAGGATTCAATGACAAAAATGATAAAATTTTGAATCTTTGATTCCACATAAACTTTGTAATATAATCATTCTTCATATCACAATGTTTTGATCTTTGATATAATTTGAATGAAAGGAAGAAGAAAAAAATGGAATGTTGCTTACCTCAAGGGTGGGGAAGAAGAAGCTGTGACAGGTGATTTCTTTTATGGAGAGGCATTTAATTTCTTTTATAGAGAAGCATTTAATTTCTTTTATAGAGAAGCATCTAATTTTTTTATAGAGAAGCATTTAATTTCCTTTATAGAGAGGCATTTAATTTCCTTTATAGAGAAGCATTTAATTTCTTTTGTAGAGAAGCATTTAATTTTTTATAGAGAGGCATTTAATTTCTTTTATAGAGAGGCATTTAATTTCCTTTATAGAGAAGTATTTCATTTCTTTTATAGAGAAGCATTTAATTTCCTTTATAGAGAGGCATTTAATTTCTTTCATACAGAGGCATTTAATTTCCTTTATAGAGAAGCATTTAATTTCTTTTATAGAGAATCATTTAATGTCCTTTATAGAGAAGCATTTCTTTTATAGAGAGGCATTTAATTTCCTTTATAGAGAAGCATTTAATTTCCTTTATAGAGAAGCATTTAATTTCTGTTATAGAGAGGCATTACAGTAAACCAGAGAAAAAGATGAATTATGGGAAGGAAGATTGAAACTATAAAACTCAACTGAAAATGGAAGTCGGTAAATTTATTCATTATGGCAAACTTATAGGAAATTCAAACTACCATGCCTTACTTCACCTTGATACACCTATAGCATTCTGTTACCGCTTTCTTTCAGTGCCAAAATCTGTGCAAAAAGTAGATCACAGAGCCTGGATATTTTTATCACTTTTCAGTTAATATTAAAATCATGTTCTTAACTACATCTGAATAACATTGATTTAGTTCCAACCTGAACAAAAATACAATTCTGCCAAAAATCTGTCTATGCCTTTCAGGGCCTATCACATGACTATGTTTATTATAAATACTTTGACACAAGTTTGTTCTTCCTCTTTTAATTTCTCTTGCCTACAAACAATGTAGGACTTTAGGAAAAAGCGTTTTGACCCAGTTCGGGCGAATGCTAAGAAACACCACCACACACGTACACATACACATACGTACGGAACATTACAGAACATTACTAACAACAGAAATGAGAACATTACAAGCAACAGAAACTTAATTACAAACATTATGGAACATTCACTCTTTCAACTCTTCTAAAAGTTTACTCAACATATTCTCAGCTTTACAGAATTCTTTCAACTCTCTCATGGTAAACATTTTGAGCGGCAAGTTCATTCAACTTTCTATGAGCTCAGATAAAAATATTTCCTTAGTAATGACTTTAATTCCAGTCAAAGGGTAGTAACTCTTATTAATCATGCTTGTATATTGCTTACATACATAAATATGAATATTGTTTCTTCTTGTTATAAAAACCGTTTTTGTGCTCTTTAATATTGTTTCATATTTTGTGGTATTTTGCATTAAATATAAATTCTAGAGATCACATCAACATACCGACCTCTACACACCCACTCTTGAACTCTTTTTTTTTTTAAGCTTTCAAACCACAGATTTACATAGCTTCCACATGATTTGTGATTGCAGGTGTAGAGGACAGTGTGGGTTTGCGTGTTGCTAAATTAGGGACATGTGCTGTTTATTCCTGCTAGAAGGTCCAACTACAAGAACAATGCCGGACACAAGTTGAGTCCAACCAAAGGTGTAAAGAAAACAAACAAGACTGATATATATATGTCAACAAATATATGTATTAAACAACAAATTTACAAGTGACAAAGTCATTGACATTTGTGTTTGTGTGTGAATGTAAAGAGTTTGTATTTTGGTGAATGTTCGTACATATGTTCGTACATGTGTGTTTTCCCATAAGTGGGTGAAAACGCTGATTTCTATGAGAGATTACATTTTTAAATGTGTCTGCTGAAATGCAAAGTAAAAAGAGAACGAGGCAAGAAGTCGCCCAGTATTTATAGTGTAGGGAGAGCGACCCCTAGTGAACGATTAGGGAATTAAGGAGGAGCTAACTCTGACACAGGCAGTGCAAAAGTTTAATACCCTGCCTTTAAACCAACTCTGTTTCACACAATGGGGAGGTGTTGCTTGCATGATGGATACTTAAGTGCAATTTACACTGGCTTTCAGTCCTTCAGGATGATAAAACATGACTTAATTATCACAATATAAAATCTGTTATACAGTCCATGTGTGCAATCTAAGAATTTTTAAAACCATAATTTAATTTTAGTTATAAAATATAAAAATTAATTTAAATTATGAAACTAAAAATCATGGCACAATAAAAACATTTAAAAATTTTTTTTAAAGCGCTTTAAGATGATGGGTCCTGAAAGTGCTGTAAAAAATTGATTTTTCTTTTATTATTTGTAAAAAAAAAAAAAATACAAATAAAAAAAAATATGTTTATGCAGTATAGCCCATGGATTTTTATGTGAACATTGACATGCCGTTCTCATGAATTTGATATTTTAAAATTTTCATGCAAGCTGTAATTATTTTATCGTCCACCTAAAGACTCAAATCAGATCATCTTTTTAGGCTGAAGAACACTGGTAATAAAAATACATAGTTACAAGAGAGAGAAATGAAAAAGAGTTCTTAGTCTTACGCAAGCATCTTACCTACAAACAAATGAAAAAAAATTAATTCGATTAATCTATTTTTGATACAATGGAAACAAAAAATTTATATATACTTTTATTTTTCAGATAGAGCATTGTTAATAATTCTTCGATTCGTATTTCTTTCCTGTTCGCCTTCCTTTCTATTGTTTTGAATGCAACTCTCAGACCGCAGTCAGAAAAGAAAAAAGTTAAGTTACAAAGTTTATGCTAGATTTCTATTGGCTGTTTGCTTCTGTCCCTTAGCCAACCAGAACGCGATGTTCGAATTTCAAAATTTAGGTCAAAGCACTTTCAGTGAATACAATTCCGCTTTGAGCTGTTTGAGTTTTGATGCTGAGCAAATTTGTTTAAACTCTCGCTTAAACCTTCACAGCCATGGATAATTTGGAAGAATTAAAATATACAGAACTTCGTAATCTTGCTAAAAGCCTTGGTCTTAAGGCCAAAGGAAAGGTAAGAAGAGTTAATTGATAATGTATTGTAAAGTTTCATTACGTAGTATTGAATGAAATGACAATAGTTTGTTTTATTTTTCGCAGAGAGAAAAAGACAAAAATCATGATTTTTTTCCTTTATTTATTATGATATATAAAAACAGGGTAATAATTATTCGTTTTCAATCATCAACACTCAATCCTAATTTCAAAACATTTTATTTTAAAAAGTTTTATGGAGTTTTTTTTTTTAATTTGATGAGTTAAAAAAAAACAAAATACTTTTTCAAATTTTTATAAAAAAAAAAAAAATTAAGCCACTTGATTTTTAGTTTTAAATGAATGTTTAAAAAATGTAATCATGAGTTTGAGAAATATTGTTTTATGCATATAATTGAATTTTAGTTGTCAACTTGTACTGAAAGTTATTCGCGCGAAAAGGTATTCCGGTCGTTAATGTTCGATCGTTAGAAAATCTTATATATCTATTAAGTTAACAATTGAATTATTGAATTTATTCTTAATTGAATTAAAATTATTAGTTTATTTTTCTTCTTTTGAAATAAAGTGACATTTTAAATTTATTTTGAAAATTTTCAATTTGAATTAAGTAGTAATAATGAAAACAAAATGTTCTCAACAACGTTCTGTTTCTTGTTATTTTAATTTTATTTACTAAGTGGCTTCATATTTGAAAATAAATAATATTTTTTGTAACGGTAAAGAATATTAATACATTAAATCATTATTTACATATCCGTTTATTTAGTTTTAAGTCAATCATTCCTGAGTTCGAACTCTGTGATCATTACGTTATCCTGTGTGAGTGTGAATTTACTTTCCATCATGAATCTTTTTACAAGTTTATATTCAATGCAAAACAAATTTCGTTTCTTGTTGTCACCTTTTATTTTTGTCATCACAAAATTGTAAAACTATTTTTATTTAATCGGTGAAATGAAACCCCATTTTTATTTAGTGGATTGTAAGCCTAATGAATTTTTAAATAAATAAAATACTAACTTTTTAGTTTAAAAAAAAAAACAAAAAAAAATGACTGTGTACTGTTTCATCGTGACGGCGCAAAAATTAATTACAGTGAGTAAAACAAAAAAAATCAAATAATTTGTCAAAACTAAAGTAATTCTATTTTAAAACTTCCCTAACCGTAATATCTTTCAGTGGGACTATCTTTAAAAATTTACCTGAATAATCACGGATCCAAATTTAAAGTTTGTAATATAAATAAATAGTAATCTAAGCGCAATGAGCTCAGCATCCTAAATTATTCAGGGTTACAAAGGGAAGGCATTTTTGTCACTTTCAGCAATAAAAATCTCATAAAAAGTTACACCCTTTTTTTTATTACTCATCGTCTTCCTCTTCATCCTTACCTTAACATTTTTTATTTTTATTAAATGTCTTTTTTATTCATACTAATTTTTTAATTGATAAAAATAAAATGCTTCCGACTCTCTCTACACTTAACTGATTAAGTTTCTACTTTCATTTACTTTCTTTTGTTGTTAGTTAGTTAGCATCATCATTGTTTGTTGTGTTTTTATTTCTTCTTTCTTTGTAACTGAGCAAGTGCCCTCAATACTGTTAAAAAAAGTGATACTTTGGACGCTCAGCTACGGAATCATTTTAAACCAAATTTTTAAAAGTCTTCTTTTGAATGTTATGGAAAAATTCTGATTGCTTCTGCACAAAATCTATCTTTTCAAAAGCATTTTTCCATTTTAAAGAAATTTCTCTCTAGTTACACACAGTATTTTTAAATGAAAATAAATTAAAATACTTCAATTTCATTATATAATTTAATTAATTAATAATAATTTCAATATTGTAAATTTAAAAAAATGCTCACTAATTGTCAAGAAATAGGGGGGGGGGAATTATTTTCACGATCAAGTTAATGATTAAAATTCGGTCATTTACACTTTGCAGTACAACACTTACGTCGACCGCTGACAAAAAAATAAGATTTTTAAAAACCGAACGAAAGGATAAAAATTTTAATAATAAAAAAAAAATTACTTTGTTGATGTTTCCAGTTTCCTCTTCTTATTTTGACGATAAAACTTTGTTTTTATTAAGTTTGGGGACTTTTTTCAGCGTGGAAAAAATAATTCATAAAGAACTACAACGACTAGGGGAGGGATGTCCGCTCTCTCTCTCTAGTGTAACAGTTTATCTATATTAGTTTATTGCGTTCTTTTTTCTTTTTTTTGCATCTCTCGGGAACGGTTGTCACAGAAGTTCTGCCTGCTAGCAGCTATGATGCGGTTTTGTTAAAGATTACTGTTCCAGTAGCAGAAAGTAATTAATTAGAAGTAGAAACAAAAAACAAAAAATCTTACGGCCATATCACGTTGAAACACCCGAGGTTAAGCAATGTGAAGCCTCGTCAGTACTTAGATGGGTGACCGTTTGGGAATACCAGGTGTTGTAACTAACCACTCGGGACTGGAAATCGGAGTGCCGAGTAATAACTCCAGTCGGGTTTGTTATGTTCGTTATTTTTCACGCGCAAATAGGAAATGTATTCCCCCCAGCTATGGTTTAAATTAGTAGGATTTATTTGTATCACTAAAAAAAAATCATTATTTCCAAAACAAAAAAAATTCTGGCTTTGGTTGATAGGTTGTAAAGAAACAAACAAATCAATAAAAAAAATCCAAAAGATAAACAAAACAAACATGAAATTATTTAGAATCAAGAAAAAAAATGTATGGTCCATCTCTAGTTTATTGAATTAATTTATTCACAAATGGTCAACCAGATTAACTTGTTAACCATTACATTACTGTTTATTCCCAGTTACCTTACAAGTGTACCTGTTATTTTTATTATAAAATATTTTCATTTATTTTATTATAAATATTTTCCTTCTTTTATAAAAATTTTATAAAAGAAGGAAAATATTCAAATTAAACATTAAATTATTTTCCATTGACTTAATTTAAAAATAAAAGAATAATTTTTAGGAAAGTTTGTCTAAATAAATGTTAATTTCTATAATCATAACTTTAAAAAGCTGTAGAAGAAACGTGATTAATTGATAATGATACATGCTATGTGATCTCAAAAAAGACGACAAACTGCTTATTTATCTATGAATAAAATTGATATTTATTAGAATTTTGATGAATCAAAGCTTAAAATCTTACAGCAGGTAGTGAAAGAAAAGGCTGGGAAGGACTAAACATTAATTGCAAGAAAACAGAATGTATGGTTGGTAGCAAAAAGACTAGCAGCCCAATATGCCTTTTACAAATTGGAGATACCAAAATCATCTGGAAAGTACGACACTTAAATTTGAAGGCACATTGGGATATAGAAAAATGCCTTGCAAAAGCCAAGTACTAAGAAACAGAAAAACTTCATCAGAAACAAAAGGAATACTGAACTACTACATAATATCAGTCCTCCTATATGTCAGTAAATGCCGGACGGTCTCCTCAAAGATGAAGAAGAGACTTGAAGCAATAGAAATCAGGTTCTACAGAAGGATGCTGAAAATACCATGGATCAAACATGTGAGCAATGATGAAGTTTTAGAGAAAATGGAAACATCGGAAAGAGATAATTGAAACTTTTAGGCACAGAATAAGGAAAGAGGGCTTGGAAAATATGATACTCATAGGACAGATTGAAGACAAGAGGGACAGAGGAATACAATGTATAACCTAACTATTGACTTTTATGTTCACTGGAAAATTTAACATTTTGTTGTAACTGAGTTATCAAAAACAACAGTAGGAAACCAGAATTGGTTTAACAACAAGTTTATTACCTTTTTGTACAGGGAAACTTAATGTAGTATAGAAACTAGGGAAGAGAATATTTAACCATGATTGACTGTTTTCAGCAAAATCTACTGCTCCTGCTGCTACTCCTCTTGATGTAGGAGTATTTTTATGTCTTTTGTCCAATGGCCAAGTCCAAACTTCTCCCTCACAACACATTTGTTACAAGTTTTCCCTATTGTTGTTTCCTTAGCTTACTTTGGCATGAGGTTATATGTAGGGAGTACCTAGTGATCATTGAACTCACTAGTATAAGTCAACTAGACTATCTCGTTAACCATTACTCTGTGCCCAGCTGCCTTACAAGTTTACCTATTGGTTTGAAAACCTAAGACAGGAGACTCAAATTTTTACAGTCATGTTTGTTGGCTTGGGAAAAGAGTATTTATAAAATAAACTGTCACAACTGTTCCTTATAATATATTGTAGAAATTTGCAGAAATGAAAAAAAAAAAAAACTATGAACCCAAAAAGGATCTTATACATAACAATCTATCAAATGCATTAGTCATACACAGAAATAAGTTCAACCATAACTTTGATGTAAAGAATACCATACTTACTAAAAGAGAAAATAACTTACTGTTATGGTAATTTAGCTTACTTAGCTTACTTGTGACTCTCCCCGCTATATATAGGAGCAGGTACTGCCTTTTGGAGAAGGAAGTTTCCAGCAGTCGGCACTGACAGTCGAACTGAACATTCTTGCTGTAACACTCTCATTTGTATATGTTTGTATTACTGTTTCTGTTAATGTATTTGTTTAACTCTATTCCTCTCTTGTGTCTTTACTTTTGGCCCTAACAAGGCCACAACACTTACTTTCATGGAAAGTTCTTGAGAGTGCCTTTATCAAATCTTGCCAAAATGTTAACCTGTGCCCCAAACTCTTTTTTATGAAATATCTCCTTCCCTAAAAGAAATACCCCTTTCCCAAGCCAAAATAAATGACCATAGAAATTTTTAAAAATTAAAAGAAATCTATTAAATCTAAACCTTCTATTATCTATATATATATAAAACTGGCTGTGTGTGTGTGTGTGTGTGTGTTTGCGAACTACTTGAGAACCATAAGGCATATTTCCACCAAATTTGGAACATAGATTGTACTTGATACTGGGTGTGTCATTTTTCGAAAATCAATAACCGATAATTGATAAATATAATGTTTAAATGGGAATTTCCGTTAGTTTGGTTGTTTTTAAAC